GCTCAAAACTTTACATGTTTTGTTTGATCGAATAACAGATGACGACATGTCCGTGAAGTTGAACTAGCGATGAATAATGTCATACCCATTACCCGAGCTACAACTCTAAAAATTTATTTTTTTAATATATTTTCAATTTCTTTTCATATTTTGGGTTTCCCTTTCATTCCATGATATGCAATCTGCAATCTATGGTCCACATTCCACGATTCTGAACATCTCCAAAAGAGTAAGGGGAAGACTTAGAGAACATGTACCTCTTTTAAACTGAGTCGCTAAAAATTATCGGACGTGTTCTAGTTAAACTAGTTCGTTCACGTGGTGTAACGCAATCCTAGTCCGGTGTGTTTTAATTTGATTGGAAAGACCGTGTTCACCGATTGGACCTCCCTGCAGGGGTAAATAGCATCATAAGTGCGTGCACGCAGTCCCGAGTTAGATCCGATGGAAGTGCGTGTGAATTCCGCAAAGCGCTAGCTACAGTTTAGCGCTGTGATTTTTGATAAGTAACTGAGCATGTATGTTTTGTAGCTCGGCGCTCAGAAAAGAATATACAAAGTGCGCGTTTGAAGTTTTGAGCCTTCGTGGTCACTCGTGGTCACTCGTGAGTACTTTTAGACCCTATCAATACAAGAATACCTTTTTCTGTTTGGAGAAACTAAAACATAGACACGCAAGGCGTTCAAGAGTTATTTTTTGTGAATTAAAAGCCCCTGGATGTCATCTCTCTCGTGGTCATTCCTGATCACTCGCGGTCACGCGTGGTCACTCGTGATCACTCGTGAGTACTAAGAGACCCTATCAATACAAGAAGAACTTTCTAAACTCGTGGATACGCGAAGCGTAGAAACGTGTTTCACTCACTCACTCAGATGTAGACACTGTTCGTTATTAGTCGGCACGAACGAGAGCGCCCGAGCCCGACGCCATATTGGAAAAGCACTAACGGCGCGGAAGGGTAAAATTTCATGATCACCGGTCTTAATCACATTTGCACTTCAAAACAACTGATCTTCAAGAGGCACCCCGAATTCAGATATAATTTTACAAAAAATTGAAACTTCAATCAGTGCGCACAATAGATTTAGCCAACTAACCATAAAGGAAAAACAAAATTTGTTTTTCATGGATCAGAGACTCAGGACAAATAATGATCAATTGTGGGCATGCAATTGTTCAGCGTGTGGTTTTGCTATTTTTCCCAGTAAATTTTACAAACTATAACCAATAAGCGTAACCAAGATTGTAGAAATTACGTACGCAATATAACAATTTTAGATCGATGTGCTACCCAATTTTCTTAGGTATGGGGCTCCGCTCGTGCACCTTCGGCACGCAGGAGCTCCGATGTTAACAACGGCATGGTGAACTTAACTGGTTTAAGTGGCCGTATAAACGGGGCAAAGTTATAAAAGATTACATAGGTTGGGATTTCAGAATATGGCCGTTGGCCGTATTAATTTAGCAGGCTTTTCTTGTAACAAAATGTATGGACACTTTGACGGGACAAATAAAAGGTGGCCGGAATGACGAGGTGACCCCCACTGTAAACAAAATAAATTGTTTCTACATCTTTGGTTCAATGATTTCTGAAATAATCTTTTTACAGACTCCATGTCTAAGCATTTTTTTAACAGCTTTCCTGATGTCCTGACTTCTCCAGCAACACACCAATGGATTGAAGAACGAGTTTAAAAATGCCACAGTTTCGCTCCAGCTGTAGTAGTCGTAAGAGGTTATGTGTCCAGTGACGATTTGGTGATAGGTGGTCACAACCAAAACGGGGAGATTAAAAAGAAAATAAATTCCCACTATGTAAGCAACGCTGACTGCAAGCTTTATCTGCATTCGAAAGTTTTGATTGCCCGAAGAAACCCACTGCTGTTTCCGGATTTGATTGCAATGGCGACGAACGATGATATGGATGTTAAATTGTGAAATTCCCGCAATAAATAAGGAGATAAACCAGAAAAACAAGTGTACGCCTCGCGCGATTGTATTGATGCGCGCCCACTGGAGAGAGGTTAATGCAGTGTTAAGAAACCAAATCAACATTGCGACTAGTAAGACCCGCTTCACAGTTACCAGGCCTTCGTAGCGAAGATGTAGTCTCAAAGCAAGATATCGTTCAAAGCTTATTGCGCTAAGAGTCATAAAGGAGACGCCGTAACAGACGTAAAAACCATTTGCGTAGAGAACCCTTACCGCGCAGTTGACATAGCCGTGGAGGTTTTCGTTGAATCGATAAGCAACGTAAGTAGGTTGCACGATGACGCTGACAAGGAAATCTGATAGAGCGAGGCAAGCTATCAACAAGCACGACGGAGTGGAACGAAGTGACGGACTCAGCAAGATGGCAAGAAACACCAGAGAGTTTGCTGTTGCTGAGAACGGCGCAAAGATCGCGTTGATCACACCAGTGATTAAATTGCTTTGGTAGCGATGCTGAGCGTGTTGGAAGATAGGATCTGGTAGATGAAAACAATGTTGGTTATTATCGATGGAAACGTTAGCAGCCATTTTCGAGCATTTCTCCTTGAACTGCGATGAGTTTCGAATGAGAAGAACCTTTTCAGTTGTCTAAGCTGTTCGTTTACTTAATGTTTTCTAAAAAAGGACTTGCCATCACGTATGTAAATACATTTATCTTTAGCAGTTGATTGCTACAATTATTGACGGCATTACGAACGGAATGACACTGACATTAATTTTGGGCGAAAACGAAATTGATGATAACATTAGAGGGAAATCCAAAATTTAAAAGGATCGAGAGATTCCTTACAAAGGAGTCGATATATTGAACATAGCCAAAGAGCGTAATCATTAAAACACAAACGAACATGTCTTTAACTTTCCCCACCATGCCAAGCGCCTGTGCTTAAATTATTTTAGTTTTATTGTGTAAATTGCTCTAAGTGGAACCTGTCACGAAGAAGACATTGTCATCTTGACAGGTCCTATCCTCGGTGAGAAACACACAGAATTAAATTACATTCACCTTGTCATTTTTGTTTAATCAGCTGACTCGGCCATATCTTGTAAATTGCTTTTTTTATTCCCTTTTGCAAGACTTAGCTGCATCTCTAAGAGCAAGCCTTTAACGAAAGCTGGCGAAAGGACAATGCCATTTTTGTTAAGTACATTAATTTTAATAGAGTTTCAACACTAGGAGTCCTTATATATTGCCATAAGGCGTTTACACATTTGCTGTTCGTCGGCACTTTTTTTTTTTTTTTTTACACAAATTTGCTTTTGTAGCGCAAGTATTCCGAATCTCACTGCCGTTTCTTAAGGTGGCTATCAACACTTTCTGGCACTAATACTTTGATGGGTCAGTGTAAAGTATTTCTTCAATTTAATAAAACTACACGTGTAGGATATCTCATCAATTTAATGAGACTACAACATTCCAAAATGGCGGTCTTCATACACACGCCAAAACGAGGCGGAAATAATTATTAAGCGCACGAACTGACACGCATACTTTACAGTCCGCACCAAAACGTCCGTTGACGCTACGATCACGAAATGACTGCCCAGTTACTGTTAATTTTTTTTTTGGTATTTTCTTGACATAGCAGGTTGCAGAAACAGCTAACTACTCGGTCATTTGACACCCTTCTGCGCAACTGCGGCATTTGATTTCTTATCCGACAGAACAGTTTTCAAAGTTGATTTTGGGGAGCAAAATCCTTTTCCATCGACCTTTTGAGACATGTGAAAATAGAAATATCGATTTTGAAGAACTGTTGCGTCATTCTTGATAGATTTAAACGGCATATTTTGTGTTTTGAGTTGAGTATCGTCGAGAAATACGATGTCCTCGTAAGGGGGTTTTCGAAGATGCAAGAGACCAAAGCTACTTTCGCCACGTAGCCGTCTTGTTGAGAAAAGAAAAAAAAAAAAACGAAGAAAAGATTTGAGGACGAACATCGGAAACTTTATATAGCTGCAGATGTGGATGCAAGTTGGAAGAAAGTAAAACGTAAGTGCTTGTATTCAACGGACACGGCCTTCACACAACATTAACATGATAAATATTCTTTACAAACAAAAAGTAAAAAGTCGATGGATAAAAATATTTTCGAAAGGCACATGAAACTCCAAGCTGACCCGCGGCGAATTCATACCGCGACTGATAGTATTACGATTTCTATTGTTTAAAAAATTGGTGTCAATCAAGAACGCACATGCGCTTTATCGTGACAATGGCCCTTTAACCCACAAGGTTTAGGGGGAGGGTTCTGAGCCACCTTACATTTAGACGACAAAACTTAACTTGGCAACAAAAGACAGTAGCAAAGTCAAGTATCATAGCAAGAGGCTTTTATTGGAAAAGAGACGATACTTGGACTTACTAGCGCATCTTTCCTGAAAACGCCTTGAGTATTCGCTTGCTACAGGCTAGGTTTGATGGTATCGCATAAACTGCCCGCTCATATATACATTTTTTTTAACTGTTCCCTTCATGCCACGTGGCACATAGGGCCGCAACATCTACTCTCCATCTCAATCTGTTTATAGCTAGCACTCTGTGCTCTGCTGCAATCCGTGAGTTCTAACCCAGCTTGGTCCTTTCTCTTGTTACAGTTCTTCGCCAGGCTTCACAAGGTCCTCTTCTTCGCCGCTTTCCATCAGCTGTCTAACACAGAGCAATATGAGGATTTTCGTCGTGGCCCATTCGTAAGACGTGGCCGCATATATTGGACCTTTATTATAAATGTCATTGCAAACTGAGGTTTTTATTCTTCTTAACTAAGTACTGCTTCAGCCATCCGTCGATTCAACAGTCCAGTTTCTTTTTAGAATTCTTTATTTAATTCATTGTTTTTCTTATTGGGCGTCTCTTGCTATATCCCTGGGGCGGATCTAGAGCCTTCGGGGTCTCGGTCAAACCCCCTAAATTTAAAAAAAAAA